CATGTACCCACAGTACATGATGCCGATATTAGCTTCAAGCTCAAAGCTCGCCTGACCTGGGCCAAAGTCGACTCCTGAGGTGTTTGAACTTCACGTGTGTGGAGCTCCCGAGCATTCCGAACAGGGTTGTCACCCGGGTCCAGCAATGCATTGAACGAACTACCTCAACCGAACCCAAGCACCGAAATTCCCTTCTCCGACAAGGCCTCAGTCGCCTGGTCCGAGCGCATGTCGAGGCCTACTCCAGCGCCTGTCAGCTACGATCAAACAAAACAAGGACAAGACATGACAAAACACTGGCATCCGGTCTCACCAAGCATCCCAAGGTGCATCAACAGAAACACTCAAACTGCAAAGGCGATGTTGCAAAGCCTGAAATAGCAAATCGGATGCTTCTGTCGTGAACTCGTTCAGTTCTACGGGACGCATCGTCGACGGTTCACCTGCTATAGTCGCATCCGTCACTTTCAGTTCTGCACAGGATTTGCAACCAGCATTTTCGGGGCATTCGCCATGCCATGCCCCCACTACCATCCCGTGCCGCCGTTTGCCGTCTCCTCACCTACTCGGTCTGCATCATCACTCTGGATCCTATCGATGCTGATAGAACAACATTGCGATGCAACATGGATCGTGTAATCCACCATTGTCACATTATTTGCGAGCAGTTCGGCCAAAGACTGCGCAGCCATTGCTCCACACATCTCCACACCTTCCCACGCTTCTGCAACCAAATACTGCAACTATTCGCGCAGTTGTCCTGCCCTGGGTTGACACAGCTTACTTTGCAGATGTACGCATAGAGGCAGACTGACGACCAAACGGTGAACGATTGTGAACGCCAGTGCACGAAATCCAGCTTTGCGGACTATCATGTCCATCAGAGCCTCAGGTCGGCTGTATAACATCTTCAACATCATCCGGAGGATGCATCAGGAGCAGGGGGTCGTGTCGGCTGGACTCAGGAAGACTGAGTTCTCGTTCTCTGTCTGCACACCAGCCATGCTTTGTGGCAGCTGAGATGCACCTTGCCAGTGCCCCAGCAATTTCTGGCACTATGCCCAGAATTCATTTGCGCAAAGCGGATCCCGCGCAATGTCCGCACACAGGTCTCTTCTGACATGTGGCTAAGTGCAGGCTTAAACTTACCTGCTTCATGGCATGCGCCCATGGCGGCACTGTAGCTGATTTCTGTTGGCTCCACCACTTCTGCACGCATGCCTGACAAAAGCTGAATGGCCCTCTGCCATTGCAAGCTTCTGGCACATGCACCGATTGCCGACGTGTACATGATCTCCTGCACGGAAGACAAACTTGAAAGCAAGTGCAAAGCCGCTTCCCACTGCCCGGCTCTTTCGCATGCACTGATGGCAGCATGCCGGACGACCTCGTTGCAAAGAGCCTTCGTCTCGGGTCCCAGTGCCAATTGAAGTGCAATCCACCAGAGTTCTCCGCAGGCTCTTACTGCAGCGCTGAGTGTGACCTCAGATTCGCGCAAATACACAAAATATCACCAAACTCAATGGGTCAAGCAAGCACACCGCAGTCCAGAGAGCATCCAAGCGTACTATTGCCACAGCCAATACCACTACTACTGCTACTGCTACTGCTGCTGCTGCTACTACTGCTCTCCTCCTCCTGCTGCTGCTGCAACTACTACTACTGCTGCTGCTGCTGCTGCTGCTACTACTACTACTACTACTACTACTACTACTACTTCTTCTTCTAGTACCACTACTACGGCTGCTGCTGCTACTACGACAACGACTACGACTACGACTACGACTGCGACTACGACTACGACTACTGCTACTACTACTACTGCTACTACTACTACTACTACTGCTGCTACTAATACTACTCCTACTACTACGACGCTGTACTGCTGCTACTTCTTCTTCTACTACTGCTCTTGCTGCTGCTACTGCTACTGCTACTGCTACTGCTACTGCTGCTGCTACTGCTACTGCTACTGCTGCTACTACTGCTACTACTACTGCTACTACTCCTACTCCTACTCCTACTCCTACTCCTACTCCTACTCCTACTCCTACTCCTACTCCTACTCCTACTACTAGTACTACTACTGCTGCTGCTACTACTACTACTACTACTACCAGCGCTGCGACGACGACTATTTCGAGCACTTGTGCTAGCACCAGTATGAACGTCAAAGGTGGTGGTGGTAGTGGTATTGGCGGTAGCGGCTGCACTGGCAGTAGTGGCAGTAGTAGTAGTAGTAGTAGTAGTAGTAGTAGTAGTAGTAATAGTAGTAGTAGTAGTAGTAGTAGTAGTAATAGTAGTAGGAGTAACGGTTGTACGTAGTCGTAGCATAGCAGAGGGAGCAGTCGTAGCAGTCGCCGTAGCGGTTGTAGCAGTGGTGGTGGTAGTAGTAGTCGTCGTACTAGTAGTGGTAATACTAACAGTCTCGTCGTCGTGGTCGTGGAGGTGGTCGTCGTCGCGGTACTGGTAGTGGCGGCAGCAGCAGGGAGTAGCCGAGCAGCCGCCGTAGAAGAAGAAGTAACAGTCGGAGCAGCAGCTGCAACAGCAGCAACGGCAGCAAGCAGTTGTCATTGTTGCTGTTGCTGTAGTCGTTGTAGCAGTAGTGCGGATGAAGGGGCATTTCGACTTCTACTTTCTAAGCAGGACTGACACATTTTTAATTTATGCACGGGCAAGGTCCCGCCAACCTGGCGGTTAAAACTCGAATCTAGCTCGATGTTGTAAGTAAGGGCATACCAAAGAGGCTCAACTTCGATTTTCATCCAGAATCCCCCTCCCCTGAGCGCGGGTGCCGGCTCGAGGATGAAGGAAGGCGGCAAATCGAGTTTGATCTCAAGGAAAATTTACATCAAACACTATTTAATCGTGGTAGTGGCGGTGATGAGCCATGAGTCCTAAAGTAAAGTATCGGTTTGGGGATTCCCAATCGTGATGCGGGACTTTCCGGCATTGACCCAAGCTCCTCATGACTAGGCCGTAGTTCTGAGAACATTGCAAACCCCTCATCCTCATAGGCGTGTATGAATGTATGTAGGTAGGTAGTGAGGCAGGGAGGTAGCTAGCTAGGTAAATAGCTACGTAGGTACGTAGCTATGCAGGAATGCTTTGCGGTCGTGTTCCTGCTCCCTAAACCCACCCAAACTGAACCCTTATGCAACGAACATGGGAGCGTAACGAAGCTCAGTGGCCTGGTTGGGTCTAGCATGTACGGTCGGCATATCGGAGAGCAGCTGCAAAGCTCTTTGCCATTGCTCTCCTTTACCGCAAGCACTGATGGCAGCACTGAAGCTGACTTCGTTCGGGATGAGTCTGAATTGCGGCATTGCTGCCAAAAGGTGGAGTGCCAGGGGCCACTGTGTGCCCTTCTCAAAGGCGCTAATGACGGCACTGATGCAAACGGCATCCTGTGTGACCCTTGCTGTTGGCATCTGTGCCAGCAGGCCCAGGGCCGTCTCCCATTGCCCGCCCTTCTCACATGCGCTGATGGTGGCACTAAAGCCAACCACGTCTTGCACTAATCTGGTGCCGGGCATTGAGGCAAAAATGTGAAGGGCCTGTGGCCAGCGGAGCCCCTTCTCACATGCGCTGATGGCAGCGCAGTATGTGACCTGATCCGCCCTAAGTCCCTCTGCCCTCTGCATGCTGAAAGTCAATTGCAATGCAAGCTGCCATTCACTGGCTTTCCCGCATGCACTGATGAGGGCATTGACAGTGACAATGTTAGGTCGCACTTTCGCATGTCCCATGTCGTTCAGCAGCTGGACGGCTGTCTGCCAACGAGTAGCCTTCTCGCATGCACTTAAAGCCGCCGTGAAACAAAAGACCGTGGCCTGCACACTGGCCCTGGCCATATAGTCAAGGACTTCCACTGCGAAGTGCCACTGCCAGGCATTCCCCAGAACACAGATCACATCGAAGAACCTTTTCTCATCTGCACCGGGTGCGAGAAGTTGAAGAGCCCTTTGCCATGCCCTGTTGCTGTCCTGCGCTGCATGGCGATAAGGTTGGGCAGCACAGATCGATACCCATCCGGCGGTGCTGCCTGCCACAACCATGGCGTCAGAGGGCCACTTCCTCCAGTGAACTGAAATTAACAGTGCTTCCTGGTCCTAGTTCTGCGACATGCCTGCAGCCTCCTATCGCGCACACAGGCCTCGGTCCACGCCGGAAGGCTCCGAGTGCTTGGCCTCAGCAGAGGCTGAAGGTCCAACCAACTAGCAGCTGGCCCTGGCAGATTCACAGCAAAGCAAGGCTTCGCCTATGGCTCGGGCCGTGGAAGGCCGGGTCGTATCATGAACTTCTTCAAGCGGCGACGACCTCAATTCGCATCCCTCCATGCGAATTGGAAACAAGGCCTTGCTCCGCAACCAGGCTGCTTTCATCTTATTTCGTCGCAGATGCAGCTCCAACCTCCTTGAAAAAAGGTCCGCTCGTGCTTCACGGTTGCTATTGTACGAGCCAACTCAATAAACTTTCGTTCTCCTACACTTGGCATTGGATTGTAGTCAATGTCCTGACCAAGGCTCGCTCAAAGCGTGAAACAACGTGCTCTAATCTGCGCGGGACCAACAGAACGGTTTGGAACCAAGCGTCACGGCGTTGTCTGACTTTGCCAGACCGGCGTAACAGCACTCGAACTTTTAGGATACTTGGCACGGATCACAGGCCATGGAGTTCCGGCATGACAGCACAAGGCAAGAGTTGGAGTCGTGGAGGCAGACCTGGCAGGACCCAGAAGTGAACTGGCACGGATCTGCTTTCACATGCGCAGTGGCTGAGACACAACTTGCCACGGCCACAGAGGACGGATGCATGTGGTCCTCTAGGTCTGGTTCTCGCGGCATGGCCTTTCATTGTTTCAAGAAACCAATCGCAAGCATGCTTTCATGAGTGCCGATTGCTCGGCCTCGTGGGCGTCGATGTAGGCTCGGAAGCGACTGCGCTGGCTTACCTCAAATCGACACGATGGCAGCATGACCGGAGCAGCGGGAGGGTGTGAAGCAGATACTGCATACAGTGGTTTAGGCCTTTCGGCAATGGTTCCGCATGCGTCCCCAGCTCCCCGCCCGGCCCTGTGCTTTAGGCAGGGTTGAGGCCTCAGGGTTCAGGGGCGGGGAACAGCACCTCGTACAACTGCACAACCATAATACAGTGCGGTCTGCACGTCTTTTGCGAACTTCCACACGCAACCCTGTCAAACTTCTCCAAGCCGCCCTGTCAGCCCTCACGAGCATCACTGCAGGCTTCTTGAAGCCACGCAGAGAATTAAAAGCCCAGTACAAGGATCAGAAGCATGCCTTTCCCATCAGAGCAGTTGCGACACCATGAACATCAACACCAAACCAGCTATGAGCTGAGCATCTTTTGGTTCCCAGCCCGCTGTGCATCAGCCGACCCCTATTTCAGCCGCCAGTCATGGCTCTGCGTATGCACACCGCATGCGGTTCATGCTGGTACTGGTACTGGTGATGTCCGCAGCGCATGCAAAAACACTTGCTTTGCCGAGGCGGCCAGGAGATGCTCGGAACCGAGCAGTTTGTGGCTCGTTCTCCAAGCCCCGCTTGCGGAATTGGTCCCAGCCTGCGGGCAACAAGCCACACGGATTCCTGACTGCGCGTCCTCGCGAAGATGTCGGGACAGCTTACCGTCGTGTGAAGCCATGAAGAGCCAGCCTTGAAGAATGGTCCGCACAACCTGGCATCTGGGTTTGAGCCTTCAGATACTCGTGCGACTTACGATTTCCTCGCCAGGACCAGGGAAGTTTTCTTTGGCCTCGACATTCAGTATGAGTAGTGCCAGTAGTGCCTTATATAAAACCTTGTGAATCCTAAACCTTCCGGTTTCCTTGGGCAAACACAGCCTCCGCAGAGAGACGATCGTGCGAGATCTCAGTGCCATCATCATGTGCGTGGAGCAGCGCCAAGCAGCAATCCTACCGAGACGGAGGAGGAGCTTTGCAGGATATTGTCTTGGACTGGACTTGGTAGTTCGAGTAAAGCAGCTGGAGCTATTTCGGGCAAGACCATCGACGCCTTGCATGCACTCACATGCGCTACGTGAAGACTCTCGCAGTGGGCTATCCGATGTTGGCCGCTGCTGCGTTGTGGTCTAAATCGCATGTGTCAGGTTTCAGGTTCATACTGCGTTCAAACCGTCCACCCGCGAATTGCTGCCAGCCTCCACCAAGCCGTTGGTATCCACGTCCCCCTGGGTAACCAGGATCTGCGTGAATTTGAGAACCATCTGTCTTAGCAGCTCTGCATGGATGCTATGTCACCCGGAGCTGGGCATCCGAAAGCCCAAAGATACCTGAAGCCACGCGGGCCTTTATTAGCCGGGTCAGGGTCTTGGACAAACACGAGTTCGTGAAGACCGGCGGGTGCACTGACAAATTACTCACCATGTCGAAGGTGATTGGGCCGCCTGAAGATCGTGAAGACTCAATAAGCCCACTGAAGCCCCAACAGCTCATGGCAAATGGATGTTATGATATCACCATAACAAACCTTGTGCTAAGACTGCATGGCATAAGGCATAGGACACTGTATGCCCAAGTCTTTGGTGATCATGCATGTTGCGAGGCTTGGCACACAATGGTTTTGGTCTGAGCGAGCGGGGAAGCCGCTCCGGAAGCCCCTCCGGAAATGCCGGTTTGGAACGCCCTTCGGAAATCCGCTCCGGAACCTGCTCCGGAACATGCTCCGGAACCTGCTCCGGAACCTTCCAGAACCCGCCCGTCCAGAACCCACTCCGGAACCGCTCCGGAACATCTCTGCAGAACGGAACCCCACTCCGGAACGCAGAGCCTGCTGCGGAAAAGCTTTGAAGTTGACTTGAAGGCCCTTCGTACCAGCAGCCAGCAGGGCGTCCCGAAGACCTCGACACGGTTAAGATCTTTCGCTTCGTCCACGCAGGGTGCTGCACAGTACCCGAGCGGGGTTCTGCACGAACATGAGCACATGGTTCGGAGCCAAGGCTCCTGTACAGGCTGGTTTCCCACAACTCTGAGTGCACAGCATGCGGTGCATCATGCAAAAGGTTGTGACTAAGTCATGCAGCGCAAGGAAGTTTCACTTGGTATACGCAAGCTGCAGTCGCTAAGCGATTGCTGTGGTCAACGCAAAATTAAAAAGACCCTCCCGTTGAAAAGCATGCAGAGATTATGAAACGATTCTTATAAGTCGACCACATAGCCGGGCCTAAGCATCTTCACCCGCATTGCAGGGGCAACATTGCCGCGTGAATTTAACAACTCTTCTCCAAGTTTCGGGTGCTTCCTCATGACACAAAGTGCAAGTCATACCTTGCTGCATATCAGTTGGTACAACCAACACACGCAGAGCCTGCGCCTGAGCCTTCTCATTGTGTTTGCGAACGAGCTCCTGTCTGTAGGCCAGCTTCACGCTTGGACGCGCTTCCCTCTGGCCCCGCTCCTCGCCACAGTCTTGAAGACCGTCACATTTCTCCTTTAATTCCCCAGCGCCGTGGGCTTCTGGCAAACAGTACAGCAAAGATCGGTGCCTTCGTCGAAGGGTCCTAAC